ACCTCCAGGTAGTAGCTGGAGATCTCCTGCTATTACAATTGATTTACAGGCAAAAGAAATCCGTTCACCTGGAGAAAATGGCTGCTTTGGAAGGCGGACTCTATGGCATTATACTCCTTTGAAGTCCCTCCCTCCCAAAACCCCACCTTCCTTAGGCTCCACCTCCAACATCTCCAGGTATTTCCCAGTCTGGAAGTGGAAACTCTATTGATAGAAGATGAGGAGAACAACAAAGCTTCCAGATGAAAACGAGCCTTGTGGCACCTCTTAAACAAACTGAGCCACCTTTTTAAACTAGAGGGCAATTTAGTATATACAATTATTAAAAAGGTAAAGGTTCCCTTGCTCGAAAGCCAGTCGAATCCGACTCTAGGGTTGCGGTGCTCATCTCCGTTTCAAAGCCGTAGAGCCAGCACTGTCTGAAGACGTTTCCGTGGTCATGTGGCCGGCATGACTAAACACCAAGGCGCACGGAACACTGTTACCTTCCCACTGAAGTGGTACCTATTTATCTACTTGCAATTTCTTGCTTTCGAACTGCTAGGTTAGCAGGAGCTGGAATTAGAGACGGGAGCTCACTCCGTCATGTGGCACCCGGGTCTTGAACTGCTGAACTACCGACCTTCCACAGCCTGCAGTTCAGCGTCTTAACCACTTGAGCCACCGCAGCTCCATACAATTATTAGACACATTCAGTTCTCCTAAGCAAGAATTCTGGTCCACAAAAGCATCTTAGAAAATCTGTTACCCCTTGTGCCATGCAAGACTCTTAAGGTAATGCAAGATTTATACTGGCATGATAATGACACAAGATTTTCCCATTATCTTGTGAAATACCAGAGAATTATGCCCTTGAATCAGTGGGACTTACTTCCAAGTAAGTAAAGGTAAAGGTTCCCTTGCTCGAAAGCCAGTCGAGTCCAACTCTAGGGTTGCGGTGCTCATCTCCGTTTCAAAGCCGAAGAGCCAGCGCTGTCCGAAGACGTTTCCGTGGTCATGTGGCCGGCATGACTAAACACCAAGGCGCACGGAACGCTGTTACCTTCCCACCGAAGTGGTCCCTATTTATCTACTTGGAATTTCTTGCTTTCAAACTGCTAGGTTGGCAGGAGCTGGAACTAGAGACGGGAGCTCATTCCGTCATGCGGCAACCCGGGTCTCGAACTGCTGAACTACTGACCTTCCACAGCCTGCAGTTCAGCGTCTTAACCACTTGAGCCACCGCTGCTCCTACTTCCAAGTAAACATGCCTAACAGCCCAGCATTTCCCACAACTATAATACATGGTGTACTCCATTAGTTCAAAACGTGTGCCCTCTCTTTCCTGTGAAAACATATATTTATACCTTATTTATAGTGAAAATATGCAAAACTAATATATGCTGCATACCCAAGTTTATTCATGAGTGGGTTATGTTTCTTAGGGTTTTTCTACCATTTGCATGGGATATCTTACCCAGTTTGTACTTTAAAAAAACAACAACCTGTAGTTATTTTAAAAAACTCCCTCTTTTGTTTGTTACAAGTTTTTTAAATGTCAGCTAATCAGATTATTTATAAAGGAAAAGCACACCACGTATGTTCACTTTTTCCACCAATCAATGCTGTTCATGTACTTGCCAGCTGTTCCCCTGTGCATTCCACTGTCAGAATACATGGGGTGATCTATGATGAACTACTTACCGTTACTTGAGTTCTTATTCTTTAAAATGGTCACTATGAAACATTAACACTTTAAAGATACATAATTCTCTGCCACAGGAGGTGGTAGTGGCTACAAGCATGGATGGCTTCAAGAGGGAATTGGATAAACATATTGAAGTGTAGTGGGTTAGACGCATGTAGAAACCACTGAAACAGATGTAGTGATCAGCATGGTTTACTGGTACACGACAAAAGACGAAAGACTAACGGCCGGCTGGCCAACTATATACACACCTGGGGACACCCCCTTAGGTCCCGTTGGTGGGTTTAAATCTCCCGCCACGGTCCTATTGGTTCCCAAGTGGACAGACTAGGAGCCTAGTCCCCATTGTTCTTACAGAGTCAAGCTCTGGGGGTATTCGCTGGTCCCCATTGTTCTTACAGAGTCAAGCTCTGGGGTATTCGCTGGTCCCTGGTGGCGGTCAGCAGACATAACACATATGGGGCAGAGGTCCATTGGTGGCTATTAGCCACAAGGTATAGATAGAGACTCTGGGGCAAGTGATGCTCTGTATTCTTGTTACTGGGGGGGGGGGGGGTTTCCGTCAACGGTGGGAGGCTTCTAGTGTCCTGGCCCCACTGCTGGACCTCCTGATGGCACCTGGTATTTTTGGCCACTGTGTGACAGAGTGTTAGACTGGATGGGCTATTGGCCTGATCGAACATTGGCTTCTCTTATGTTCTTAAGGGGCTTCAGATTAGTACACCACCAAATGAACAGAAGAGCCCCAGGATATTCTTGATTTTTTAAATTGAATCTAAACCAGCATAGCATTGACCATCTCCGCTGTGAAGCTTATTACTTGTTCTATTCAGAGGTAAGAGCCACAAATTTGGGCTCTTCCACAATCTGATTTTTGTCACTCCTTTGTCCCTATTGTTTTGGGTCAACCCCCCCCCCCCTTCCATATCTGTTTTGTTCTCTCTGGGACTACTAGAGAGACCAAAACACATGGGGGGGAGGACCCTGAAGCAATAGGAACACACAACTGAGGAAAACCAGAATGCAGAAGAACCCAAAGTCCCCCAAGCACCTACTCTCCACGCGTATACCAAAGAAATTGCAGCTTTTGATTGACAGACTGCCCGTCGCGAAGCGGGGAGGAAGATACAGCGTCCTTATAGCTTCCTCTTTCCTCCAATGATTGGTTTAGCGGCACGCCTGACTAAGCCTATAAAAAGTGGCGCTGAGAAACTGGGCGGAGTTAATGTTTATTTCCACCCAGCTAGCAACACGCTGTGCTGGGTGGTTTGCTCTATGCCGGTGGGTGGGTAAGAGAAAGTATAGAAGGGGGGTGCGAAGGCGGGAAATGCAGTTGGCTGGAAGGGGCGGGGCTCTTCGCGTAGGCGGTGCTTTGTCTTTTATTCTTTCATTTTACCTCAGTCATTTCCTTTCTTTTCACTAACTTATTAACGTGGTTGTTTTTCTCTCTCTATGTTATAGCGCCCCCTTGGGGAATATTATCCTACCGATTGTATTTCAAAATATAAGGGGCTTAAATGGAGTGTTCCATAATTGGGTTATAAGTACTTGCACTCTTGTTATTATGCCTGTTTTATAATAACAGGAAACTTTTAAAAAGCTTTTCCCGTGAGGTGTGTGTGTGGTATTCCTTGCTAATTTGCATGCACGGATATATGTTATGTGTATATGTCAAACAAATGTTGCGTTATCACGTGAAAACAGCTGCTAGAGCTTCCTTTATGAACCAGCCAAAGCTGGGATAATTTTTAGGACACATTCATTTCAATTAGAGAGCTAAAGATTGTGCATAAATACTGCCTCCTAAAACCTGTGGGTTTTTAAAGGTTTGACTTTGGTTTAGTTGTGGTAATATATTTCCAGTATGTGACTTCAGTAATGAGAGAGGCTTAAAATTATTAGTTATCACTGAACTGGATATGGTTGAAGAGCAGCATTCAGCATCTGTATACTGTTCTAATTGAGTTTTAACTTGAAATCCTTCCCCTTCCCCTTTATTTAATGGAGAATAGGCTTCTCTGTTTCTGCACCAATGTAGTATTCCACGTTTTATTTGATAAGGTATTGTTATGTCTTGTTTCCCCCTGCTTTTAAAGATAATCTGTGGAAAACTAGTATGTGATTTCTAGGGTTGTTGCAGCTGCTTGTATTGGAACATTTACTTTCTCTTCTTCACCTACCTCCTCTAAAAATAAAGAGACTGGTGCACAGAAGGTAGAATAAGGTTTTAGCCTCTGAAGTTACCTAATAATGTGCCTAAAAGAAATCAAAAGCCTACTGAAGGGATCTTAATTATGGTGATTACCAGTTTCAGTATGTGCTTCAAACTATGTGTAACTGGATTTTAGGAGTTCTTGTATCCAGCTTCCTGGCCTCTTTATACCAAGTCAGAACAAAATTATGCATGGGATAGAGAAAGAAGCACTTTTCTCTGTTTTCTCACAAGCCAAGAACTTGTGGGCACTCAATGAAATTAATGAGCAGTAGGTTTAGAAAAGGTAAAAGGAAGTACTTCTTCACCTAAAGAGTAATTAACATGTGGAATTCACTTCCACAGTAAGCAGTGGCGGCTATAAGCATAGACAGCTTCAAGTGGGGATTAGAGAAACATGCAGAGCAGAGGTCCATCAGTGGCTATTAGCCACACGGTATAGATAGGAACACAATGTCTGGGGCAGTGATGCTCTGTATTCTTGGTTCTTCGGGTGCAACAGTGGGAGGGTTTCTGGTGTCCTGGCCCCACTGGTGGACCTCCTGATGGCACCTGGGGTTTGGCCATTGTGTGACACAGTGTTGGACTGGATGGGCCATTGGTCTGATCCAACATGGCTTCTTTTATATTCCTATGTTCATTAGTTTATCTTGCCTAGCGTGTTGTCTATTGTAGCTGGCAGCAGCTCTCAAGCAGAAAAGAATTACTTTTAAAAAGTGCAGAGTATTGAACTGGGGAGTTTCTGAATGTAAAGTAGGTGCTTTGTGGTCAAACCACAACCTACGTAGCTGCCAAGTGTTCTCCTTTCCTCAGTTTATAGTATTTCTCCAGATCACGAAAATTTCTTGCAATTTGGTCTGCGTGCTTCAGAACTACAGTCTGGGTATATGACTTCCCTAACTCTTGTTCAGGTTTTCCATATGATTATACTTATTTAATATTTGCATAGCAAAAGAGGATTTGCAGTCTTGTATGACATAATTTTGCTGATTTTTTATGAGATATTATTTTCTGACATTCTATGGCTGATACTAATCTTTGCATTTAAACTAATTTTGCAGAAGACCCCTTTAAGCCTCTGCTATTGCCACTCAAAAGAAAATGAGACACAACCAGAGTGCTTGTGTCCTTCCTTTGGTCACCACTGGGGTGAAGCCAGGGAGCACAAAACAGCGCCGTCAGATCACAAAGTTTGTTGGAACACACAGTAGTGTACGAGTGGTTGAGAGAGAACTTTCCAGAGCAGCCCTGAAAATCGCACAGCAGCCACTGTCACACCTACGCAAAGAAGAACAAGATGCCTTCTTCAGCCTCTTGGGTGAGAACCCCAAACAGCTGTGGTAGCTCGTATTAGGGATGGCTAGCTAGCTGAGAGTATGTGATTCACATCTGGTCTGCAAAACAACTGTGACCCATTGCAACCTTCCCAAATAAATTTTTTGTACAGTTCCACTGAAGATGAAAAATAGCTTGTTTTAAAAGTTGAGGTAGATGTAAAGGTATAAAGCAATGCATGTATTATATAGCTATAAATGTCTTTCTTCTGGCAGGCTTATTTATTTACTTCATTTATACCCCGTCTTTTTTCCCAATGGGGACCCAAAATGGTTTATATTCTTCTTGCCTCCATGTTATCTTCACAACAGCCCTGTGAGGTAGATAAGCTCAGTGTGTGATTGGCCCATGGTCACCCTGAAAGCTTCTGTGGGGGGGGGGG